GCAGTCCTTCTCACCAGAGTCAACATCTCTGCTTTGGCTCTTAATCTTGCCTTCTTTTTTCCTCCCCTCTTACCTTATTCAGGAATTCGGCCCCTAGAAAATTCCTGTTTATTTCATTTATCTTCAATTTCTCCCTGTCTACTGACACTGGCTCCTTTTCTACCCACCATAAACACACACACAGGTCTCCCGCATCCTTAAAAATCCTTTATTTTCCCCTACCATTCCTTCAAGCTCTTCTGTGCTTCATTTCCCTTTCAGAGCCAAACTCCTGGAAAGGGTAATCTCTACTTGTTGCCTCATTTCCTTACCTCTCACTAATTTTTCAGTCTTTTTCGGTGTGGTTTTTGATCAATACCACTTGACTGAAATCACTCTTCCCCAGGTTTCCTTTGATCTCTTCATGGCTAAAAATCTAGTACTCTTTTCTCAAGTTTCATTCTACTTTACCTTACAACTGGCAACCACCCCATACCATGGACATGTTCTCCTCTGCTGGCTTCCATAGTATAACTCTTTTTTGGTGCCCTTTTACCTGTTTGACAGCTTCTTCTCGGTCCCTTTTTGGCTCATCATCTCACTAAATGGTTCTTTCCTGAATTATCTCTATACAAGTGACTTCCAAATTTATATATACAACTCTAAACTCTCTCATGAATTCTAGTCCCTCATTACCAATTGCTTGCCAGACAACTCCAAATGGATCTCCTATAGAGCTCTCAAACTTAACATGTCTTGAAGAAAACATAAATTTCCCCAACTCATATCTTTTTCAAACTTTGCCTTTGCTATTGAGGATAATGCCATCTTGCCAGTGACTGAGGGACCCAGGAATTCCCCTGATCTCTCAGACTCACAAGTTGCCTCCAGTTCTGGAAACATCCACCTCAGGTCACTTACACTTAGACAAAGAAATTTAAAAAATTTAAAAAAAATCCAAAGCAGAAGCGGCAGCCAGGGCCTTGAGGTCCTGATTCTTGTTTACCAGGATAAGTATCTGTTCTAGTGACTGTGTGTGAACAGGTCACCATTCTGCGGCGAGGGGAGTTTTGTGTACCCCTTCCATGCTTCAGAGGAAAATTCAGAGAGAGGTAGTTCTAAGCCACACTTCAGAAGAGTGAGAAAAGGGATGGGGAGGAAAGGAGGGTCTCCTTTTAAACCAATGGAGGACCAGCCCTCCTATCTTATCCAGGAAGCAGACCAAAGTACTTCCCTGAGTTTGCAGTCACCCCAAATCCTTCATGGCTGAGCCAGAATACACATGGCCCACTAGAGATAGCAAAAGCTTCTGCAGATTAGGGAGGGTTGCCCTGTTTGTCCTCATTCCACATTTTCCCTATCACTTGACCTTGCTGCCCACTTTCCAAACAATTTCTTCTAGTAATTCTTGTATTGTTGTTTTTTGTTTTGTTTTTTTCTACAGTGTCCTTTAACAGGAGAAACAGTAGCATATAAAAGCTAAGGACTGAACTAGTCAATCCTTCTTCAGCAATTTAGGCAGCTTCAACCTCTGCCAGTATATTTAGTAGCCTGGCAATTAGGTTAACATTCAGCAAGGATTAATAAATGAGTAGACTGTGCCTGTGTTGGCCATTTTGTTTCCAAACTAATGGTTTGTTTATAAATGGGTTAACTGACGGCTGGTTTGTTGAGCCTGGCAACGTGCCAATCTGTTTAGCTATAGTACAAGCTATAGGAGTTCAGCATTCCAGCTGGCTGTAATAGAACACCCAAATAGGAGAACCCATACATTTTGTAAATTGGAGGGTGGGTATGTCCGCGATGTTACTTTGCAACTTAATTCATGAATTCAAAAAGTTGAAAAGAATTAAGTTTGTTATGAAAATGTGTATTTTAGAACATGTGTGTGCTTCATATTTAAAGTGAATTCTCCACAGGATTTAGTGGAACTGTTTTTGTTTTCAGCCGTGCAGAGTAGTCTTATAAGCAAAGATGCCCAACCAAGTTTATTGAAACAGAATTTTTCCATGGAAATTGTACAATATTTCCAGTTCACAGGCTCTTTATCTAACAGTCTTTCTTCCTACAGATAATTGTTGGCAGAAGTACACTCTGTCAAGTTTGTGTGCTGTATTTCTGAAAAAGTCTTGAATTGAACCATTGTTTCCCCCTGAGATAGCCTGCATTTTTTACTGAACAGAGAGCAGGGTGTAAAAAGGCACCTTGTGTACAATTGTTGGCAAGGTTTGGAAGCGAATTAAAATCTCCAGAAAGTCTGGGCAGTGCTGTTCTGAGTAGCATTGAGCTCTTTGGAAGCACAGTTAGCTCAGACATTCCAATGCTGTGAGGCAGCACTAGGGACACAGTTCGACTCTACAGTCTAATTTAGAGAGAGCAAGAATGAACATGGATCCATACCAATAATTTTATGAAGATCCGGTAAAGTCTCCCTTTTCCAGTGACCCAGTAATACTCTTATATTGCATTTTATATACTTGTGTGTATGTGTATGTATATATACACATACATATATGTAATATATATTACACACATACATATATATGTTCTCAGTAGAACTGAAGATTGATTTTCTTGTAATAAAAATAGTGCCATTAAATAATTTTTAAGGGAACACAAGCTTAAAGTACATACATTTCCATTTTCTTTTTTTGTCCTTTTTCTTTCTTTTACTATTAACTCATTTAGGCCATGGAGCAGGAATGATGCTTATTCTTTTTAGACCAATCCAGTTAATAAGAAGGCATAATAGAAAAAAATGGTACTTTTTGCATGAATATGAACGTTACACATCCTTCTCCTACAGTGCTTTGCACATAGTAGATGCTTAATAACTATTTTCCTTAAATTGAATTTAGCGTCAGAGAAGCCTCAGATTCTAAACTAATATTTATTTTGGTTACTCAACTTTCCATATGGTTTAGGTGCAGGGAGGCTGGAACATAATCTCTCATTTCTTCAGTTTTCGGATTCTATTAAGCAGCTTCCTCAGAGCATCAACCATTTAGGGACAGAACTTTCTAAAAGTTTCTAGAAGATGAAAATAAAGTGCCAATTTCCTTACCAGTAGAGAGGTATAGGAATCAAATAAACTTATAAGCCATAGAGGGAGAGCTATGGACAGTTTTCAAACACCACTGGTATCCTTGTAATGTCAAAAAAAAAAAACCAAAACAAAAAGCCAGGAGAAAGGCCCCCAGCACACTAAGTGGACTCTTTTTGGACAACTTCTAAAAGGACATGGATGGAAAGTCGCAGAGGATGGTCAGCAGGCATGGATGGCTTACAATCTGCCTTGCCTTGGGAATAAACACAGATGACATCAGAGAATCATAGGAGTGGAGAAATGCCTGTTCCCTGGCCAGTGAAGTAAAATCAAGCAGAGAGGACAAAACAGAAGAGTGAGTAAGTAACATTATCAGGACGATGTCACTCAAAATCTTAAAGGAGGCAAAGGTAGTTAATCTTAGGTGATTGGTCCCTTATCCTTTTGGTTACAGTAGATCTTGAATAGGGCTTGGAGTCTGGACTATCTGAGTTAAAATCCTGCCTCAGACATTCACTAGACACGTGACCTTGGGCAAATCATTTTACCTGTTAGCCTCAGTTTCCTCATCTGTAAAATGAGGTGGGTCTACTCTATTACCTCTAAGCTTCCTTCTAGTTCTTGTTTATGATACTAGAATCCAAAAACAGCTTAGGAAAGCCTAGGGCGTCCTAGGATCTTTGGACCCTACTGTTTAAACATTTTTCTCAAACTCCGTTTTACAAAACCTATTCTCAGAAAAGTATTTTATACCCATTAACACTGAGGAATGAATGACTATAAGATCAAACGATTTGGATCCATAATTGGGGAGGTTTTTTTCCGGTCAGTAACTGGTCATTTCAGTTGGTTGGGGTGCTATGGGCCCAGTGGGTCCTGGAATACGAATATCGAGTCATGTTTGGCACCGGCTTTGGCATCGGAGGTCTGGGGTTCGAATCCAGATCCTGCCGCTTCCTGGCTATGCGACCCAGGCCAGGTCACTTGACTTGTCTTGGGCCCTAGTCTCTTTCTAGGCGGATGAAGTTCTCAAAGCTGTGATGCCCAAAGACCACTGTCCCCAAACAATCCCAGCAAGCTCTCTCCTGCAGAGGAGTCTGGGGGTGGGTGGGGGGGGCACGGGAGGGGGCAGTTGGCGCCGGGGCACCCTGTACACAGGGCGGAAGATGGAAAGCTGACCGAGCTAGCCGGAGCTGCGGTGGGGGGCCCCGGAGGAAGGGGAAGCAATGGGGAGCCCCGCTCTCTCTCGCTCCAGCCTGGGCGGGGGTGGGAGGGCAGGGGTTTCCCCGCGGGGTCCCTCCGGGGCTGCGCCCGGGGGAGGGGCCGGGGCTCCGAAGCGAGGCCGCGGCAGGCCAGGGTCACTGCGCCCCCCACTGCCCCCGGGGCCCCACGGCTCGCTCCGCCCGGGGCGGGCCCTCCGGCCGCCAGCCCGCCTGCTCGCCCCGGGGCGGCCGCAGCAGAGTTCTGGGAAATCCCAGCCCCAGGGCGGGGGCCGCCTAGAGCTGCCGCCAGCGCCTCGGCCGCTTCCCGTCCCGACCGGACCGGACCGCCTGGCGGCCGAGACTGCAGAGGAGGGAAGGAGTAGGAGCAGAAGGAGGAGGAGACCCTCACGGCGCCCCCTCCCCCGCCCCCAGGCAAGTGGAGCAGCGCGTGGGCGGGAAAGCTAGGGGCCCGGAGGAGGCTAGGGCGGGCAGGTAGCTCCCGAGGGGAGGGAAAGCGTGGACCGGAATCGACGGAACCGGACTGGACCGAGGCGGCTCCGGCGGAGCGGGCACCCAGTCCAGCTCGGCCCCGAGGCGCTCCGCTCCTGGTGCTGGCGGCGTGGCCCGAGGCAGCCCCCGGGAGGGGAGGGGCCTGGCCCACCCACCCCCCGCGGGCACACCCGATGGGCACCTCAGCTGAGGAGGCACCAGCTAAAGAAACTCCCGCCCCCGCCCCGGTGCAACACTCGCGCGCGCGCACACACACACACACACACACACACACACACACACACACACACACACACACACACACACACACACACACACACACACACTGGGCGACCGCGAACAAGCCAGCGAAACTTAGGTGCCACACGCAACACGCATTCTGAGCACACACACACACACTCTCACACACACTCCAGGAGACAAGAACAAGCCAAAGAAACTTAGGTGTCACGCTCAAGTACACACTCAGCACACACACGCACCAGGAGACCACGAACAAGCCAGCGAAACTTAGTTGCAACATACACAACACACTCGCACACACACTGAGCACACGCACACGCAGAGACACTCTGGGGAACAGCGAACTAGCCAGCGAAACTTAGGTGCACATACACAACACCACACTCACGCGCACGTTCACACTCCCTTCCCCCACCCGCGGCATCGCTGGCCACAGGCTGCAGGACAACGATCCATCGATCGAACCCACGAGACCGTTCCTCCCCGCCGGGGTCCCTCGCGCGGGGCCCGGCCCAATCCCGTGGAAGGAACAGAAGCTGGGGGTCGTGGTTCTTCACCAGATCCGTAGGTGCCAACCATTATTTACGCGCGCGCGCGCGCGCGTGTGTGTGTGTGTGTGTGTGTGTGTGTGTGTGTGTGTGTGTGTGTGTATGTGTAGTGGGGGCTGGGTCAACCCGAGTGAAGTGGAGAAATTTGAGCTCAACAGGGAATGATCCTGGTAATTAAGGACCACCTGGTCACAGAGGTAACCCCGTGTGGGTGCAGGTGCTTGCTTTTTGAATGACACAACTACCTACCCTCACTCCTTGATTTCTTTTTCTATGTGAGATTGGTCTGTTGGGGAAAAGAAATAGGCAAGGTTGGTAGAGACTATGGCCACTTTGAGTATTTCAAGGAAAAAGTCTGGGGGAGGTGGGGAGGCTAGTTTCTGGAGAACTTTACTTACATCAGGACCCAGGAAATATAATGTTGTGTGGCTAGAAGACTAGCTGAAGGATTTTTCCCACCTTTGAAGTTCTTTAGTGCTATAGGCAGCTAGCTACCTACCTCATATTATATGTATGTGTGTGTGTGTATATATACATATATATACACATACATACACACACATTTCCATTTCTGAAGTAGAAGTTGTTATCAATGTGAAATCTGTAGCTAGGGTTAAATTCAAAGTGTAAAAAGTAAGCTTGTCTACCCCACCCCCCCAACAAAATAAGGATTGTCAAATATTTGGTTTAGCAAAAAGTGAACAGGTAGTATGATGAATGTTGGAGGGAGGGGGAAGGTAGGAGAAATAACTTACAGAATCCATTTGAAATAGAATTGTGTTTAGAGAAACATTGATTTAAACATGGTTTTTCAGTAACACATTGATCATGGGAATCTCCCTTCTGTTTTATCTGGATGTTCCAGTGCCAGTTTTCTGAAAATTCTGAAAGCTGCTTTCCAAATGGCCCTTGGAAGGGTTAGACTGCCTGAACCAAGGAGGCCTGGCAACTTTTCTTAAGGTCAAGACATTTGTGTAGAGTGCCTTAGTATCCTAGGACATTGTCGAACTCTTGTCCTGAAAGGAACATGATATAGAGGTCATGCCATATCCCACTAGAGCTAATGGATGTCCTGCTGTAATAATCTTATCCTGGGTATAAGATTCTGCTATCATGTTTATTTTTTTGAAGAGACTTTGATTTCATAGTGCACTGTACTTTAGAGAAAGAAAGAATATGGTTAGGATTATTCAAGGAAATGCATATTTACTAGTGGAACTACAAAGTTTGTCTATTTGCTGTCACAAAGAGGAATTCTCCTTTAAAAACTTGAGACTTGCTAAAGTTCATCAGTCTTGGCATCTGTGCCATGGGGCCATGAAATAGGTGAGACTGTACTAGAATGAAGCCCTTCCAGTATTTCTAGTAACTCCTTGGATGGAATCTGAGATGATGTTCCAAATTCTGCAGTATAGGGGGTTGCACTTTTCTTTGTGCTTAGAGTTATTAGTGTGAAAATCTTGTATTTACTTGAATTACTTTCTTTTAAAATCCATAGTGAGTTTGGACTTTGTATTCTAAAAAGCAATTAAAAAGAAAAATAAAAACAAATGTACAATGGTATTGTAGAATAGTTTTTTTAAGAAAGATTGTTCCTTTGGAGGCATGTATGGAAGTAAAGGGAACATTTTCCCATGTGTAGGTTAGAGGAGCCGTATTCAGAGTTAGTTCTGTTATATGTATAGACTGGCAGTCCTTCACTTACAAGCAGGCCATGCTAAAAACCTGTCATAGCTTCTGCCCTGTCTCTCACTCTTCCGTCCCTACTGTCTCCCATGCCTGCCAGATTTCTCACTGCTGCTGCTTTAGGAGCAGTTGTGAAGTGAAAGCAGGAATGGCTTAGGGTAACTGACTCACACAGTCAGCCCAATAACCTTTGGGCAAAGCTGACTTGCCTAGATGGTGGACTGCCTGTCCCCATGGACTTACTGTCTGAAAATTTTTACTTGATATTGTTATCCTGCCTGAAAACTTACTAATAGATTTTGATAATTCACTTATTTTATGCAAGTAATCTTAGGTTATAGGCAGGGCTTTCAGTCATTCACACACTGGTCTGAATTAATTCAGTGAGATTGCTTCCTAACACCTAGTCACAGAAACTGAGAGGTAGGTAATTTTGAAGTATGGAGACTTTGGGGGATTGGGTAGACTTAGTTGAAATGCCACATTGGGGAATTTAGGGCAACATGGAAACTATTCCTAGCCCACTGAAGGGGTATAAAAATATGGATGAAGAGATGCCAAAAACAGACTACCTATTTCAGAATTTTTCATAGGGTCTAACAAACTCAGGAAAGGGGAGAGAAAAGGGTTCCTTGCCCTTCTTTTCGTCAAGAAACTTTGTCCTGGTGGTGGTTCTGTCTTTAATTAGAGAAATGTCCTTAGGAAAGTAATTATAGCCTCTTTTACTTCAGTTTCCTCTTCAATAAAAGGAGTGAGTGGGATCTTTAAGGTCTGTTTCAGTCCTGAGAGTCTATGACTTCCTCCTTCTTGTATCATATGTATATAAATCATAGAACCCAGAATTCAGTCTGGTACTATTAATAATTTAATTCGGTTGCAATGTGACCTATCCTGGGAACCCTCCATCAATTATAATATTTATATAGGAAAAAATGTTCCTAGGTGTTGCCTATAGACAGATGCTGTTTAAAAAATGACTTGAATTTATCTGGGTACGGAGCTGAATGTCTTCTACCAAGGCAGATTTGCATCTTTTCTTTTCTGTGTAGTGTTAGTCTGGGACACTGAGAGGTAAGTGACTTTACCAGAGTCATAGTATGTCTCTGAGGCAGGACTTGCCTTAGAGGCCTGTGCTTTCTCCACCCACTATGCCATATTGCCTCTCTGTGTAGACAGTTGTTGCAAGGATAGTGATTTTTTAATTGTATCTTATAAAACAAATTACAGTTATTTTGACTTGTGGAATTTGTATGTCTTTATACAATTTCAGCATTAGATGTTTTGAAGAAAAGTGTGGGTAGATTGCTTAAAGGTAGTTAGGAAATGAATTAAGAATATTATAATATATCCATGCTTAGTGATTAGTTTTTTACTTTGTCAACTATTTTATTTTTTATCCCATTTCTGTGAGAGGGTAAGGGATTCTAAGCTTCTTTTTGTATACCTTCAGAGATGGGGATGGGAATTATCTCAGTTGTGGTTAAATAATTAGGAAAATTATTGAATTCTTTTGGGATTCCAGGATATTAGAGGGTTACTCTCCTGGAAGAACCTCAAGATCACAGAGGAGATAGTGTAATGGGCTTAATTTACTTTCTTTTACACTGTAGTCCAAACCTGCACCCTGGGGGAATCACAACGTCTTCTTGGGACATGAAAACAAGGACTAGGGATATCTTGCTTCCATTGTTTCTTTTGTCATTGGAACCTAAATCAACCTATGTCTACATATATACATTTATATGTATACATGTATGTGTGTGTGTGTGTGTGTGTGTGTATGTCATAAAAAGGAATGTAGATAATTTCTGGAGGATCCACTTGACAGAGTACTACCTTTTCAGATACATGTTAACATCCATCATGAAATAAACTGATTATGCTGGGGCCTGACCCTGAAGATTAGTTATTTGTATTCAAGGGAGAGGAGGTACATGTTGGGTGTGAGTTAGGATGTAATAATATTACCATTGAAGAATTGTGCATGGCAGTGGTATGAAGGAGAGATTTGTGATGGGAAAGGAGATGGGCTGTTCATGTAATGAGAGCAAGGGATAACTGATAGGTTGTGTGAACCATCAAGTCAAGAGATTTACAGGAAGGGTCCCAGCACTTTGCATGGGCTACCTGTAGAGTATTTCCTGGAAAACATGGACAGTTGTTGCATAGGACAACAAAATGTGAATGAATTGTAATCCACTTTGTTGGAGTACCCACTTCAGTGAGATGACAGATCATTGAAATATTGAAATATCAGTACCCGAGATGGAGAAAGGGGCAATTGAAGTGCTTTTCCTTCATCAATTCTAATTAAGCTCCTCCTACCTACCATTTTAGGTTTTGGGAAGGTAGAGGAGAAGTAAAGAAAGATTATTTGTGTTATATCTTGAATAGAATTTACAGCTACCAAAAAGAACATTGGATTATGTGTTATGTTCAAAATTGTTTTCAAAAATAAGATGTGAGAAGCCTGGTAAGCTTTTGTTACCTCTATGTAGTGGAACATATCTGAGTTCCTGAGACTGAGACTGAACTGGGTGTAGAAGGAATGTCTGTCCTGGCCTCACTTGCAGTTTCCACCCTTGTTCCTGCAATAGCCTCATTCTCTCACCACATGCTCTTGGCCCTAATTCCATTTTGGCTTCACTTTTTCACCTCTATTGCTTTACTGGCTTTGATGCACTCTTTGCTATCTACTCAGTGACTTTGCTCTTGGCCACTTCCTTCTGGGTCCAAAGCTAAAATAAATTGGAGATCCAAAATGTGGAGTTCTGCTGTGGTTTTGCTTTTGGATGTTGATTTTGTAGTTTTGTTACTGTTGCCTTTTTCAAGAACATGATTTTAGAATAATTTTGGTTTAAAATTCTGAGATTTAAATATCTTGATGTCTTTTCAGTGCTTAAATTTTACCTGTGCCAATAATGGACAGTTGACTTAGACCAAATACATGCAGATAAAAACAATTTCACATTATACAATCCTGCAGGAAGATGGTGAGGGAGGACCTTTTATTAGTTTACACATGAACTTTGTTTTGAATTTTTTTCCTAGATGAAAGCTGCAACTATAATAACATGATATGTACTTTGTAAACATTTGAAATGTCTAATATTTAAATGCTTTGTGAATGAAATAGGTGATATTTCTCAAATGTCATGAATTCTGATCATTAGAATAAGATTTGCTTCTGTAAATTGTGTAAAATTTTCATTAGCACAGTACTTGGCATAAAGCAAGTGCCCAATAAATTAATGGAAGATAACAGTCACATTAAACAATTTCATAGTAATTTGATTCCATGCTTACTTAATATCCAATGAGATGAATAAT